CCGCTTTGTCAGTCATGTTTGTTTTAACTTAAGTCTGTCCAAAGTGAAAGTAGGCCAAAATTCATATAACAACAAAGCTCTTATTGTAAAATGATGAACCATTTGAAAATTCACTTCCAGGTTTTTATTTTAAGGACAATTATAAACAAAAATAAAAATGATAACAATAAGAACATTTACCTTGAATGTGCTACATTTCTGAAGACCAAAAACATTTTGTTGCAAAGTTTTATGCACATTTCATGTATTGCAAAATCCTTTTAAAAGTCTGTTTTAGTGCCAACAAAAGCTATTTTTTTTTATAGCAAATACAAAAATCTTTCAAAACTTAACTCCAAATAAATCAGTATCTCACGTCCTTCTAAGCACATGACCTCCATTATTTTTTGTAAAAAAGTAGTGCAAGAAAACAATCATCATTTATAGCCTTATGAACTACAATTAAAATGAAAACACAATCAAACTTTAAAATCTAACCTTTTTATGTGTAACAGTGAAGTGTGTCTGTTTGTCATGTACACAAGAAATAGGTAAATGATGTTTATTTTCATGGTACTACTTTTTTACATATGCCATGGAGGCCATGTTTTTTCAAGGTCAGATAAACTACTTTCCTAAGATTTATGTTTTTATTTGTTTGGGTCGTCAGACCAAACAAATAATGGTAGCGAAATTTCAGAGTCTAATGTTGTTAATTGCAAATGCCGAAAGTAGTCCACTTTTTTGAAGCGGTTACTTCCCTTTTGTATGTACACTAAAGCCGAAAAATTCAGGGGAGATCACTGCGTAAAGATGGTCAAAGACAGGCGCATCAATTTTCAAGCCAAGTAATTCCCGAATGGTCGAAGATTTCTAATATTGTTTTATTGTATTTTCTGATCGAAAATAACTAAATACAAAGCGGACATTCAATCTCTGACACAGAAGTTTACGACAAACCTAACAACAAGTAGTTCTCAAAACAGCTTAAAACTAGCGATTTAAAAGAAAGAAATATTTTATTTTGTTACAAGTATCCAACAAATGACAACGCATTTAAAGTTAAACAATAGCGTTGGCTTATAGAATTGTCAATAAATGCACAATCACAAATTACGCGGATGAATATGACTTCATCAATGAAAATACTATTTTTAGCCATGTAGATTACCGAATACTACACAAACCGAGTAGCGGAATATATAGATTCTACATGTCGGACTGTTTGGGCAAGAGGATTTTCGCTAAAATATTTACTTCAATTTTAAACAACAGGTTTACCCTGAACAAAATACCTCGAAATTATTAAGGATTACAAATCTGAATGCAATGGAAGTTCTAAATTTAGAATGACTTGATGTTATTCAGCCTTAGTATGTGTATAACTTCTCCTTGGTACAGTGGTAACGCGCTCGCTTAGTGAGTGAGAGGTCTCGAGTTCGAATCCCAGTCGAGGAATTTTTTTTTTTTGTTAAATTCTTTTTTTAAGTGTTTTTGTTAAGGAAGTAGCCATGATTTACAAGGATAAAGTGTGGCTGTCGTAAAAAAAGTACATAAATGATTTTTTGATGCAACTCTAGTTATGCAGAATTCCGTATGTGCCTTACAAAATTAATTATAATACATAAAAATAAACTTATACAGGAAAATGCATACAGATATACAGTACGATTTAGATTGCAAAGATCAGAAAATACCAAAGAACTTGCAGCCCTTTGATTCTTTATAAATATACATGCTTATAGTAAGCTTCAGGATTATTTACATCTGTGTTAAACAACAGTTAAAAGTCGTTACAAGCCCTATTTTAGAATAAGATGGTTTTCTTCAGGCCGTTCACATATAAATTTAACCGTGGCTGAAGGGTTTTCGGGCTCGCTTAGGAAGCGAGAAGTCTGGAGTTCAAATCCCAGTAAAGGTAACTCATTTTTTTAAATTGTTAAAGTCAAATAAACATTGGATTGAATATCAGTGTTGCAATTAGTCTTATAGCCAATTTACTACAATTAAAACGCTGGAAAGCATTGGTGGCACTAAACATATAATCTCACAACCTGCACCTTTCTTACATTCTGAGACCCAAACAAATTCAGCGCCTTCTGTGCTTTGATTAAAAGTTTTTGTTTGTATTTTCTGCAAAAAGTACCATTTGTTTGCACTAAAAAAGACTTTAAACTGGATTTTGCCATTCATGAAATGTGCATAAATATTTGCAACAGAATGTTTTTGGTCTTCAGAAATGTAGCCCATTCAAGGTAAAATTCTTATTGTTATCATTTTTATTTTTGTTTAAATATAGAATTTGAAGTGTACTTGCAAATAGCTCATCATATAACAATGTGAGCTTTGTTGATATATGAATTTTGGCCTACTCTCACTTTGGTTAACAAACTTGGCTGACAGAGCGAATAACCTTAAGGAGGGTCCATCCGATCGCAAGGCTACGAAATGCAGCTTTCGCTGTCGAGTACGGACCCACGCCCCGGAACATGTCAGCATTCATACCATTTTCACAAAGTGGTGAGCTGTATCAATGACGCCAATGAAATGTAACATAATATACTAAAGTTTAATTATTTCAAAACAACCAATATATCAACATGTTATTATTAAACATTTAATTTCATAAATATAAATTAAAAATAATTTTCAAAAGCAAAATTGTTAAAATCTTTCGCCTGAAATCTTCTTTATATTGACAAATTCAATCACTAATAGTATACTTGATATGCTATGTCAAAATGTAACAAATTATAATTGCATGTACTACTAAAAAAGGGAAATAACAAATGTATAACATTTATAGCTATTTATAGCTTTTGAATTTATGTAACAGCAGAACTGCTTTCCGGTTCTCATTCATTAATACGACATGCTGCGAATCATCGACGGGAAACCAATATAGAAATCGAAAGGAGTTCTTGAATGCGGATTTACTTTTAGCTGTTAATCGAAAGGATTTATTGCTCAAATCCGGGCCCATGGACAAAAAAAATAGTAAACATGGACAAAAAAAATAGTAAACACAAATAGCTCCGCGCCTGTGGGCGCGGAGCAATAATAACTATGGTGGCATATTTCTGCCACCAGATAATCTGATAACTAACTAGTTAATTAAGAGGTTAACTAGTTACGTAACTAGTTAACGTCTTAATTAACTAGTTAGTTATCAGGTTAACTAGTTACGTAACTAGTTAATTTTTTCAATGAATAAAAGATCATAACGGGAAATAAATGCATGTTAGTGCCTGCAACTGCTATCCTTTTATTATATTATCAGCTTAATATTAAGAGGTTAACTAGTTACGTATTTACGTCACTAGTTAACCTCTTAACTAACTAGTTCATTAAGAGGTTAACTAGTTACGTAACTAGTTAACCCGTTATCACTTAGAATAAATAGATATTGCATAATATTTGGAATAACCGTACTGTACCATAATCCTTCTTCCGCATATGCGCGGGGTATGTCTAAAATACGAAAAAACGGTTATATTCGCGAAAATAGCATTTTGACTAAAATACGGAAATAAGCTAGGTTATTTATGATGAAAATAAAATTTTGATACAAATCTGAAAATATGGTAAGTTTTGAGGTAGATAATTTTAGCGTTTTTGGCTAAAATAAGGTAATTTTCGCGAAAATAATATTTTGAGAAAAATCTGATAAAAGGGTTAGTTATGCCGAAAATAACATTATTATTTTCCTTTAAGAAATCCTGGTATCGATAGGCCCGGTATCAATGTCCCCAACAATCAACCATGGCTTTTGATATTGTTATTTATGCATGCATTTGTTTATAAATTTTCTCTTTCACTTGTATGCTTTATATGCAATTAATCATGCTTAGAAAATATTTTAGTATGTCACATGATATAGAAGCTAAATTAAACTTATCATTTAAAAAGAAATGTTATAATTACGTTTCTTAATAAATATGTTTGAATCTTGAATCTTTGACTATGTTACAAATACAATAGTTTGATTGAACGAAGAATAATATGTTTAACTACTGTGGACTCAGTTTGATTGAACCTGTTCATGACTGACAGTGATTAGTGCCAGCTACCGGTCATTATCCCATAGAAGAGATAGTTGCTGAACTTATATCTTTTAAAAAAGAAAATATTTATAATTATAAATCAGCCAAAGCCGATACATCGGTAATTATGGAACCTTAGTGTACAGAAAATCTCTTATTTTTCAGTATCAATACTGGATACAAACTGAACGAAATTAAAACAACTACATGATAGCGAATAAAAGATCAAATGTGCAAATTAACAATTGATACACTGATAACGATGACTAATTATCATTCCGTTTTATTGGTCCCTAATTCACAGGTACGGCATAATATAAAAAGAAATGTTGTTATACAAATCTTAATGTTATGGTTGTACTGCCAAATGGTGGTAAGAATATATAGTTCCCGGTTCTTCTAACATATAAGAATAGTAAAAACCCTTGTTTACAGATGTTATAACACACACTCTTTATCACTGAGTACTATATACAAACCCACTAACCAAGTGGTTTGTTAGAAATCTAAATGAATCAATGTTATATAATACATGTAATAAACAATGACAAAACCTTGACTTTTAGGAATGTTAATTATTAGTAAAAAAAGATTTTTATTAAGTTGCTTTGTCTGATTTCAATGGTTGCAAGAACACGGAGTACATAGCCGTTTTACATAACCAAATTACTCATCAACTGTCGTTATAGCGGACCAATATTATACTTGTTACTGACTTCTTTGGTGTTACAAGGTCATTATACAATTTGCCGATGCTGCGTATATGAATAATACAAATGTAAACACAATCTTATAAAATCCAACGTTTTCAACGTGCAATTAAACAGGTGGAACTTAACATTGCGTTTGATGAATTCATGGCAGCAGTCAAATATATCACAAAACAAGATACGCAATAACAAGAAGTCCTTTACCTTATTTTACAATAACATAGGTTTTGTGCCAAACTATTCATAATGTGGTTACTTATATACTAAAACAATCAATGAAAGTAATGTAAAAATATATACAGTATATGATACAAGAAGACCATGATTTATGATGTGTTTTTGTCTTATATATGTCCTTTTGTGAATTCCGATATGATCCATGGGGCGTTGGCGTCAACCCCGACAATATCCAACACTAAAGGATCCCCCTGATCTGATAAAGTGAGATCTGTAGCATTCATTGCACATACAACCAATCTAACTTCTGAATTCCCAAAGTATTCTCTGTATTTTATGAGGGCTTCATACGGATGTACATTCCCACCACTAAAACACAAAAACACAAACAATAGAATTCAACTTTAACCCCACACGACAAGTACGTCTTATAATCTGGTACTAAAAGCCTACATGTGTTAAAAGTGGAAATTCAAAAAAAGCAATGATGAGGTAAAGCAAATGAAAAAAAAATATTACAGACTCGCATTGATTGAATTTGTCTACGAAAAGACTTACCAAGTTTCACTATCTGTGTAGTAAACAAACACATCGTATTTTTCATTTCGATTGCGTCTTTTATCGGTTGTGCACAGTCATTAACTCTTGGGTGACTTGCATTTCTAATTTTTTGTTCAACGTGTTCAAGCTTGTCCGTTGGCAGGATATCAAGATCTTCAACTCTTTCACCACCAAATGCTGTAATGAAATAAGATAAATATAAGTCAATAATAGCCGTTAATTATAATGAAAACATGCTAACATATTAGCTTCTTTTTTCATTGATTTGATAATGCATCTTTGATTTTGCGGTTTGGATTGAAATACATTTCTAAATAGATTGCCTAGTTTCCGAACAAAAACCTTAATTCAAGGTATAATTTAATGATACTACATTTTCCTTTTTGGATATTGTTTAATCACCATTTTTTTTATTTTGAAGTTCATTAATATATCTTTGCATGCAATACTTTGTAGCATCGCTTTAAAATTTCTTTTTAAAGAAATCATAAACGATATATTTTCGTGTGTGATTATGTACGAATTGTTTCAAAAGAAATTGCAATATTAATTACATATTTGAAAGCAAATTTTCGACCATTGTGTGTATACTGATTAACAGAAAATAAAAGAACATACACTTTATAATACAGTTTTCCTTGTTCTTGCAACCAGCATCAGCATTGCAGCAGCATCCATCGATTGTGTTATACTTTCGAAAACCAGTACAAAAGAATTTCATTATATGCCTTTATTTTAATACAATCCTCTAGTAGAAAATAAAATCAAAGCGCTGAAAGCACTGCTGGGGGCGCATTCTGTTGATTGTATAGTGGTCTATTGTTACAAGCAGATGCCATTCCTACTTTCAAAGAAGAAAACACATTTTTACAAGATTATTCGATAAGAATAAGTAGAATTATCCTAGTCATCTGAACGTCGGCGTCTATCACCTCAATTTTTCCCGAAGTCCATTGACATATGGCATTAAAACTTTGCACACTTGATCCAGATCAGGCACTCATATGTTAAAGATTGCCTATGGCTTCAAGATATTTTCGTATTCCATAGACATCTGGCTTTGAAATAAATTGAAATTTTATACATTTCTTTGCGAGCATACTAGCTAGGACTCTCTCCAATGCTTATATCTGTAGAATGGGTTTTAAAAAAAAATTTGGTCCTTTTGTGAACTTGAATATTTTAAATAACCAAGGTTCTTCTATTGTCAAGCACTAAGCATATAGTTAAGTGTGCTGTCCTACCAACAGCTAATGTTTGCATACCTTGTAAAATATAACTCCTTCAAACTTTTGTTCAGTTATTATTATACTAACACAAGAACTGTCTGAGGACAGTAAGGCTCGACTATTCGAAAAAAGTTGTCACAAGGGTGTTTATATTATACTAACACAAGAACTGTCCGAGGACAGTAAGGCTCGACTATTCGAAAAAAGTTGTCACAAGGGTGTTAATTGAGTATAAAAATGCTTACCTATGAATACATAAAACTGACCGAAAATGTACAAAGGCTTGGATTAAGATGTTTTATCAAGTAAATCACTGCTTTATTATCATGAATGCATAAAATTGTCCCAAAAAAGGCACAAACGCTTCAGTAGTTATGGAGATAACATGCTTACAAGCAAAACTTTACCATTAATTTCTAAGTTGAAAAAGGGGAGAAAAATCAGCCTAAATGCTAGATAAAATAATGGATCTTGGTCAGTAACCTACATGTACAATTATGACCCTAAATGCATGTGAAGTTTTAATATTGTAGGCAGAGTTATTCAACTTGTCAATCTGATGTACATTGTTACTATAAATAACTATTGTAAGTTTCAATTGAATATCTCGAGCAATAATCGAGATATTTGACTTTATAATAAACTTTAACCAACGCAGACGCGGACGCTTGGTTACTACAATAGCTCTCATATTTTTCAAATAATCGAGCTAAAAACCACGAAGTCATGGTTTAGACCATATAGTTATTCCATATGTAAATATATATGTATATATCATGGAAAACATTTCAAGATAATACAATGGATTGTAGTGTATAACACGAAAATCAGTGTACTTTAACTGTATTTATTCCAATAATCATACAAACATCTGTAAATAACTGGAACAACATATTTCTTAAATACAAGAGCGATCAGTAATCACATGTGTCGCCTCATGATGGACAATTTCATGTTGGGTCAAATTTTGTGACAGACGGACAGTGCACAACTAGTCTTGGTACTGATCATTCCTGTAAAGTTTGGATAAAATTGCACCAGTAGTTAATGAGGAGTAGTCCGGACAAGGTTTAGTGTATCTGGCAACACACAGAAAAAAACACCTTTTTATCAAAGGGCCATAACTCGGCCAAAAATCATTTAACACGAAAACCCGTGCAATATGCGCAAGGACTGGAGCTACAGATCAATCCTGTAAAGTTTCATTGAAATTGCATTAGTGGTATAAGAGAAGTAGTCCAGACAAACTTTAAAATTAAAAATTATTAAAGGGCCATAACTCTGACAAAAATCAATGAACCGGAAAATGCTGACAATATGCACAACTATATTTGGTACTGATCATTCCTGTAAAGTTTGGATGAAATTGCACCAGTAGTTTATGAGGAGTAGTCCGGACAAGTTTTGTGACGGACAGACAGACGACAGAGGCGACACAAAAACCATACAAAAAAAAAAAACTGATGATGACAGAACGGGGTATCACTTTATGCCTATATAATTTTTTTGCTCAAGTGATTTTTTTTCCGAAGAGCTACATGTGAAATTACTGCCAAATATACATAGGTAAAAACTATTTCAAAGCTGCATGCATTCATATAAATTTATTTTAAAAAATTCAAACTTGATTGAATAAAAAAAAAAATTCAAGGATAGCCCAAACTTGTTAATTATAAATAAATATATATACAGAATATTATGTTGTAGTAGCTCTCTGGGGCTTTGTATTTTGCAGCGGTGGGAAATTGATATCTTGCGAGACCAAAGGGCGAGCTAGATATCAATTTTCCAACATTGCAAGTAGAAAAATGCATAGCCTCAGAAAGCTACTACAACATAATTTTCCTTTTATAATATACCTTTTCGTTTGAAGTATAAATGATTTTCATTATACTACACTTATATAAGAAATTTCAGAAAAAGAAATGTAGCTGTCAAGAAATAAATTATGACTGACAGATGAATACCTAATTTGTGCAAAACCAGCCACACCTTTTATTATTTTGGTTGCCGTTTCCATATACTACGTTATACACAGCTAAGATCAGAACCAACGTCAAAAATAGTCCAGTCCTTTCATATATGGTACTGTATTTGTCTCTAACATAATACAGAATTTTCTAACCGTTGAAGCCTATTTGCGCTTCAAGATTATCCTGTGTTTCAGGAAGAAAATTTATAGGTATATAATAAATGCTGTCATTGACATTTCTTATGTTTATATTTATTATATGTATTTCTTGCAATCCTATTTATAGCTACAAATTCTATGAATTAAAATAGAAAATGAAGATAGCATGCAAATGGTGTTGATATTGTGTGATAAAAATTTAAAGATCATTGGAAATCATCAGAGTAACCGAATACTCGATCTGAAAAATGACCGAGTACTCGAGTATTGATTTTAGTATTTGTTGCCATCCCTAAAAAAATAAAGTACTTGACAAGATCAACTAACATCTAAATAAAAAAACTTTGAAAACAGAACTAATTATTTTGAAAAATTCACTCTGAGCTGTATTATTTAAAATGGGTGTTCAAACACATTGAAAACATTGATAAGTCATCTCATGTTCTTGGTGATGAAGTGGTGCCTCAATATAGTTATCACTGCAATCTATCTTCCCTCATAACTCCTACTATTACTGTATCTGTCAAACAAGCATCTCTGTTTTCTGAAATAGAGTTTTGAAAAAGTTTATTGCTGACCGAGATATTCCATACTTGTATGTTAACTTTTTTCAGCATCTTTTTGTTAGAATTACTCTGATTCATAAAGGTATAAAACCAAACTAGAAATGTGTCATCATGCCACGGATGCCCCCGCATGCAGCCAAAATTTCAGGTGCATTAATTATTTTTTTCATTTTAAGTTCAAAGCCCTTAAAACTTTTCAATGTTAACACAAACCATTTTCATACAATGTTCAAGGCACTGAAATGATTCAGTCTTAACCTTTTAAAAATTGCATATTTGTAGCCAAAATAATGGCTAAAAGTATGAGAGCTGAAACTGAAAGTTCAAAATTTTTCCAACATTCAGGAAAGATAAGTTTGTCTAAAATCATTGAACCTCGACCAAATTCAAACTTAAACTGCTTATTCCTAAGATGTATCTATATTATTTTCAAAGTTAAAGGGACATAACTCTGCCAAAAAATCATCGAACCATGACCAAATTCCAACTTGACCTGCCCATTCCTTTGACATATCCATATGTCAAATTTGAGTTGAATATGTAACACTGTTGGGTAGATAATGAACAGAAACTGTAAATTTCATATTATTTTCAAAGTGAAAGGGGCATTACTCTGCCAAAAATCATTGAACCATGACCAAATTCGAACTTGGCCTGGGCATTCCAAAAACATATCCATATGTCAAATTTGAGTTGAATGTGTTGTACCATTGGGGAGATAATAAACAGAAACTGAAAATTTCATATTACTTTCAAAGTGAAAGGGGCATAACTCTGCCAAAAATCATTGCACCATGACCAAATTCAAACTTGACCTGTATTTTTTTCATGACATATCCATATGAATGTGTTGTACCTTAGGGGAGATAATGAACGGAAACTGAAAATTTCATATTATTTTCGAAGTAAAAGGGGCATAACTCTGCCAAAAATCATTGAACTATGACCAAATTGGAACTTGACCTGTATTTTCTCATGACATATCCATATGTCAAGTTTGAGTTGAATGTGTTGTACCGTTGGGGAGATTATGAACGGAAACTGAAAATTTCATATAATTTTCAAAGTAAAAGGGGCATAACTCTGCCAAAAATCATCGAACCATGACCAAATTCGAACTTGACCTGTATTTTCTCATGACATATCCATATGTCAAGTTTGAGTTGAATAAGTTGTACCATTGGGGAGATAATGAACGGAAACTGAAATTTCATATTATTTTCAAAGTAAAAGGGGCATAACTCTGCCAAAAATCATCGAACCATGACCAAATTCGAACCTGACCTGTATTTTCTCATGACATATCTATATGTCAAATTTGAGTTGAATGTGTGCAACCGTTCTTAAGATAATGAACGGAAACTGATGATGACGGAATGACAGAATGACGGAAGGATGGAAGGACGGAACAGGGTAACACTATATGCCCCGGCCATTACATGGCGGGGGCATAAAAATGCGCGACCAATGCCAGAGCTCAACCCCTCTGTGCATTATTTCACAAACGAGCATCTGAGTAGAACCACCGCCTTTTTTTAAAGCTAGCTGGATTGCTTTCTCATATTAAAGAATCCATATTAAATATAATAGAACATTGATAATTGCTACACAGTCTCTTTGTAAACATAAAATAAGTATGTTTTGTGTTTACATAAAGTAGCTATGTATTAAATGTTAAAACACCACACGCTATAGGTGGTCACAATATAAATATATAGTGTTGTTAGGAAACTGACAGTTTTTTTAAGAAAGGACTCGTAAGAAGGTCTAGGAACATGGCTTCCAATGCATAGTTAATTCATTATTTCATTCAAATTAGACATATTCAAAAAGAATTGCATAGAATTCAATAAATTTTCATGATTAAAATATTTTACAGATGAGCATAGTATATCTTTAAAGGTAAGTGGTTTAGGTACATTACTTTGACTATGGACACCCCAATTAAATCTATTTATTTGCTTAGTAACACAACTTTTCAAAGTCATATAAATTTGTAAATGTGAGTGATTCTGATAATCTATATACAGTTAAGTCAAGATGAGATGATTAGATTTTACTGACTGCTTACTACATGAAGTCACTACATGTATTTCAATGTCAAATGCCTTGAGGTTTTTTGTTTTGTTTTGGGTTTTATGTCACATGGACACAGTATAGGTCATATCGCGACGTTCCAGCTTTACTGGTGGAGGAAGACCTCAGGTGCCCTTCCGTGCATTATTTCAGGCACGAACAGGCACCTGAGTAGAACCACCGACGTTCCGTAAGCTAGCTGGATAGCGTCCTCACATGAAAGAATCCAAAGTCCCTGTCAGGACTCGAACCCACAGCGGTGAGGGGCTGCCTTGAGGTGAAAGGAATGAAAACTTGAATTTCAAAATACAATTTAAGTGAATTACATGTCACAAATGAGCCGTGTCATAACAAAACCAACATAATGGGCTTGCGACCAGCATGGATCCAGACCAGCTTGCGCATCCGCGCAGTCTGATCAGGATCCATGCTGTTCGCTTACAAACCCTATTACAAGTAGAGAAACTGATAGCGAACAGTATGGATCCTGATCAGACTGCGCGGATGCTCAGGCTGGTCTGGATCCATGCTGGTCGCAAACCCATTATGTTGGTTTTGTCATGACACGGCTAAAATGTTTTTGCTATCGACTTTTGTTCCTAAATTAACAACAGATTGCATGATGAAATGATATTGAAATAATTAATATACATTTGGCTCTTAGTGCCAAGCTTACTGATTTTAAAAAAGCCTTGAGTCCGGTGTTGGCCTTTAAACAATTGTCAAACATTTAGAAAGTATTTATTAAGGAAAAGTGTATACAAATAATCATGTACCTCTTCATTATATGCCCATGACATTGAAAAAACATTGTGTCATCTGTTTACTTCAAGGTTAGTCACATTGACAGTATCACATTTTAGACTTTATCTCTCTTGATGCATTCTCAAAATGGGTCCTCTTAATTTCACATTCATCAATCTGACAAAAACCTCCTGAAAAAGAAAAGTTAGAAACATATGCCACTAATTATGTCAGTTTAAATGTCAAATAAATACTTTGAGAAACTATTTGGTCAAAATTGTAAATGTACAAAGATTTTCAAACCATGAACATTTCCTTTTTAACTTTCTAACATATATAATTTAATTATTATAATGTATGGTCTTACACTCTTACTTGAAGAAAATGTTTGCCCGGAACTGAACACTACCAATTTACCATCTTTTTAGTACCAATGAAAATAGATAGTAAAGGCCTTAATCTTTTTATTCTAAAATAACAGTTAAATAACATCTTAAGAAATTATGACTAATAAGCATGTTAAAAAAGTGAGAAGAGGCAATTTTTTGAGTCATTCCAAACAGAACTTATGTAGAAATGACTGACCAATACAGTTAATTCATATGTACTATTGAGCAAATGTTATTTACACAATTTATGGAAATTGTAACTAATTATGAATTCAATATTCATCACTCCACTTAGTGTGAAATAATTTATTCAAAAGACTTGCATTCAAGTATGATATAAAATGTATAAAGGTTTATGGTCAGAATAGTAAGATTCTAGTGTACCAAATTTTTGCACTTTATTCATAGGCAAGCCGCAATAATTATGATCAAGACAGCTGCCATAATCAGTAGTTACTGAATCAATGAGTTGAACTGAACTGAGTACTTCCTGTATAATTTTAGTATTTATAGTCGAAACACTCCTTTTTAAAGGCATATATAAGGGTAAGTGGAATTTCGCATGTCCAGATATGATTGACTAACAATTGTAAAAGTGAGTAATAATTGTCGGAATAGCTCAATCGGTAGAGAACATAGCTCAAGGTTACCAGATTTCAAAAAAGTTTTTATTAATTTTGTTCTGACATGTCAGGAACAACTTGATATTTAAATGTGATTTTTATTTGATTGATTTTTGTTACCTATCTTACTTTTTCATTGAAGTATCTTTTATCTTCTTAACAAGAGCTGTCTGTAAGACAGCAAAGCTCGACTATTCTTAGTGCTTGATAGTAAAAAAAAATGCTTGATACAGTTACCTCCTCCTGTTTACAGGTTGGGGTCATGATGTTGAACAAGTGTGCAAAGTTTCAAAGCCATATGTAAATGGACTTTGAAAATATTTGAACTATTACAAAAACTTTAACGTAAATTCTAAGTCGAAAAAGGGGCATAATTCTGTTAAAATGCTTGATACAGTTACCTCCTCCTGTCTACAGGTTGGGGTCATGATGGTGAACAAGTGTGCAAAGTTTCAAAGCCATATGTCTATGGACTTTGAAAATATTTGAACTATTACAAAAACTTTAACGTAAATTCTAAAGTGAAAAAGGGGCATAATTCTGTCAAAATGCTTGATACAGTTACCTCCTGCTGTCTACAGGTTGGGGTCATGATGGTGAACAAGTGTGCAAAGTTTCAAAGCCATATGTCAATGGACTTTGAAAATATTTGAACTATTACAAAAACTTTAACATAAGTGGTTACGCCGACGCCGACGCTCGGGTGACTACAATAGCTCTACTTATTCTTATCGAATAGTCAAGCTAAAAATTATGCCCAAATCTCATTTCTTTCTCTTTTTTTTTTTTTAACTTCTTTTCATGAATTTATGAATATTTTCAACAGATTTTGAAAGAATCAAAATACAACATTGTTAAGCATATATAACTGTTGTCTGGAAATTAGTTATGTTTCATCAAAAATAAACTTGAATAGAAAATAGAACAGTTTCAACCTGTAGTTTGGAACCCACTAACTGAATTCACTTTTATATCAATATTATGCAGTCTTAAACTTACTTCACTACTAAGTCAAATGATTTATTATCTCATACAATGTAATTACATGTAGTATAAGTTTTATGGTAATAATGTGGTTAATCACTTGCAGTTAATCAAGGCTCGACAAAATCCACTTGTCCGCTCATAATGATAAATACGAGTAAAAATGACTCCGGACAAGTTAATCTCCCAGAAAATGCCCGTCCTGCAGGACGTGTGAAATTTCTAGCATAAATAAATCAAATTTCTATTCAATTCTTTTGAAACCATTTTTCAAGTTTCACTAGTAAGACAGAGCACAAAATAATTCCTGTGTGTTTGATGGACAAAACTGATGTTGATTTGTTGAATGCAACGCTTAATTCTGTCTGATTCTATTTTGTAAAAACTTACTAAAAGCTCGTGCTGCGATTCCATTATGTTCCGAAAAATATTTTAAAATGTCACAATGCAATATTTGGCAAATATTTTAAAATGTCACAATGCAATATTTGGCAAATGTTTGACCAGAAAGGAATAAGTTAAACAGTGTCTTCAAAAAAGAAAAATTGTCTTCAAAAAAGAAAAATGAGTCAGAACATGTAGGAAATCTATATTTTTTAAGCATTGTTGTTGTTGTTTTTCGTTTTTCAATCCCTGATATATTATTTGTAGTATTTGTAACTATTATCTATTCTATTTGTAATAAGCCAGCATTTTACCCTTATAAAACTATTTATGTTCCCAACAAAAAAAGACAGCAAATTTTCAAATGTTTTATTTTTAAAGTCCCAAACTTACTGTCAAAATTCCCATCCAAAATTGGCATATATAAAATGGATGATTTCATATCGATAAGTGATATGTGATAAAAACCAAGTGTAACTACATCTGACAGAGCAATATTTGTACCTTAAGTTCATTTTATACTTCTGAACATTATTAATGTACATGTACTCATTTTTATTTGTTTGGGTCGTCAGACCAAACAAATAATGGTAGCGAAATTTCAGAGTCTAATGTTGCTAATTGCAAATGCCGAAAGTAGTCCAATTTTTTGGAGCGGTTACTTCCCTTTTGTATGTACACTAAAGCCGAAAAATTCAGGGAGATCACTGCGTAAAGATGGTCAAAGACAGGCGCAATCAATTTTCAAGCCAAAGTAATTCCCGAATGGTCAAAGATTTCTAATATTGTTTTATTGTATTTTCTGATCGAAAATAACTAAATACAAAGCGGACATTCAATCTCTGACACAGAAGTTTACTACAAAACCTAACAACAAGTAGTTCTCAAAACAGCTAAAAACTAGCGATTTAAAAAAAGAAATATTTTATTTTGTTACAAGTATCCAACAAATTACAACGCATTTAAAGTTAAACAATAGCGTTGGCTTATAGAATTGTCAATAAATGCACAATCACAAATTACGCGGCATGAATATGATTTTATCAATGAAAAATACTATTTTTAGCCATGTTGATTACCGAATACTACACAAACCGAGTAGTGGAATATATAGATTCTACATGCCGGACCGTTTGGGCGAGAGGATTTTTGCTAAAATATCTACTTCAATTATAAACAACAGGTTTAGCCTAAACAAAAAATACCTCGAAATTAATAAGGATTACAAACCCGAACTGCAATGGAAGTTCCAAATTTAGAATGATTTTGATATTATTCAGACACACTGTGTATAACTTTTCCGTGGTACAAGGGTAACGCGCTCGCCTCGTGAGTGAGAGGTCTCGAGTTCGTATCCAAGTCGAGAAAAACTTTTTTTTGTTAAAATTCTTTTTTTTAAGTGTTTTTGTTTAAGGAAGTAGCCATGATATACAAAGATAAAGTGTGGCTGTCGTAAAAAAAGGACATAAATGATTTTTTGATGCAACTCTAGTTATGCAGAATTACGGATGTATCAAACTCTGGTGCCTTACAAAAGGAATTATAATACATAAAAATAAACTTATACAGGAAAATGCATACAGATATACAGTGACGATTGCAAAGATCAGAAAATACCACAGAACTTGCAGCCGTTTGATTCTTTATAAATATACATGCTTATAGTAAGCTCCAGGATTATTTACATCTGTGTTAAACAACAGTTAAAGTCGTTACAAGCCCTAATTTAGAATAATATGGTTTTCTTAGGGCCC